CTTTTAGATCGTTATGTCTGAAACGTAAACTCTACTTTTATGACTTTATTGTTTTATAGATGCCCCCCCCCCCTCTATTGCGACTAGTCTTCATCCAATACCTAACACGTCCCAGGCAGTGTTCAGTACTTTATTTCTTCTTGTTTTCATACATTACACAGTGCTGTCCTATTCGCTGATCTCTACCAAAAAGCCCCGACAATCGTTCACTCCAGCTTTTATACCCTAATTCGAACTTGGGATAACAATACATAAACACCCCGGGGTTAACTCAACTCGCATCGTACTCTCCCCTACGTTCGAGAGCAGTGGCGTAGGCAGGGGGGGGGGTGGGTGGGTGGGTTGGGGGGGTCCACTCCCCATAGACCCCTCGGTATATATATATATATATATATATATATATATATATATATATATATATATATATATATATATATATATATATATATATATATATATATATATATATATATATATATATATATAAAGTATGAGGGGGGGTGCAAATCGAATGTTTAAGGGGGTGGGGTGGGGTGTGCAAATCAAAAGTCTGAAGGGGGTGAAAATCGAAAGCTTGTCCCGGGTAAAAATTGGACCCCCCCCCCATTGAGACGATCCTGGCTACGCCACTGTTCGAGAGTATTCTAACCTAATCAAACATACAAATGACCCGGATAACCCACCCCTCCACCAACTCTTCATATGCCGAGGTCAAGAAACATATGGACTCTACTTCATCTGCCCTTTGGATCGTTAAGTCTGAAACGGGAACTCAACTTTCATGACGTGTTTATGACCCCCACCCCTCTATCAACAAAAACTGGAGCAGACTTAAACAAATCTTGCCGCTTATAGCCGCAATTGCTGCCGATCTATTTTTTTTCTAACTCGAACGTCTGCCAATGGAAACAAACTGAAGACAATATCGCAGCATTCGGACTTGATTCTAAAAATAAAACTCAATAGGACCACACATGATCAGCATTAGAAACAGTGTTTCTTTCAGACTTTTTTCTCTGAGGGCGACTTGAAACTTTCGGGGGATGGGGGGGGGGGGCTGGAAGGGGGGGAATGAGAATAAATTTTTCGTTGGGGGTGGGCGGACACTGGTAAAAGTATATATTTTCTATAAAATTATATTTTTTTGGTAGGGGGGGGGGGGGTTGGAAGGTGGTAGACCTGCTTCAGAGGCATTGCCCCCTTTCCCCCCCCCCCCCCCAATCACAAAGAGATGCTTGAAAGAAACACTGATTAAAAACTATTTAAAAAAAAACCAACAACCGACCCCAGTCACGTGATGAGGGTAGCCAGCACGGGTAGACTGGGCCACCGGGGTATCGGGAAAAAATTCCTGGTGGGCCGCCATGAATCATGCCGCGGTAGGTTTATTTGTGCTTTGAAATTGGATTATAGACCATTTAGCTCAGTTTTAAAAAGTTGCTTATCCTATAGCCTTTATTGCAGTGAGTCTTTAGACATGCTTATAAGTTCGTGCAATGCATTCAGGAGGGTTTTTTTAATGTATTAAAGTAAATGCTTACTTCGAGATGTCTATAAATGACGTCACCTTTTTTGTGCTGATTTTTAACCCCCCCCCCTTCCCTGTCAAACATCGTCACAAAAAGACAGACCACCATATAATGACGTAACACTTTTACAACCCCCTCAAAATTGCAGTTGCATTTTTTTTTAACGTCGACGCTTTTCTAAAATTTTGAATGAGCTCAGATAGCATTGAATACAGTAATACATTTCTATTACAATTTACAATGCTGTTTTTTTTTTAAAATGCAAATTAACGTTTAAAATTCAGTTCCTAACTTTACGTTTTTAAACAGAAAAAGGAGTCGGCGTGGTTGAGTCGGTAAAGCTCATGGTTGCTAAACCGAAAAGTCTCGAGTTCGAACCCCCGGGCAAATGAGGCTCGTTAACTGGGGACAGCCACTCTTCCAGAAGAGACAACCTCCAATATCAAACAACTGCTGCCTTGTAGTTTGTTCTTGGTTGGACAAAGGCTATGGAAGCAAATCGAAACAGAAAAGCAGGCTGAAATCGGAGTCAATGGCCTCAATGGTACATAACCAGTTGTCACGTATCCTTAATTTGTGATGGAGGCTTGGTCGAGTCGGCAAAAGCTCATGGTTGATAAATTCGAAAAAAGTCTCGAGTTCAAACCCTCTGGCGAATATGGCTTCCAACACTAAAAATTAAGAACGAAGAAGAAGAAACAGAAAAAGTGCGACTTCACTTCACACAATTTTACACCCCCGACCGCTCATCACACTTACACAAAATCACATACTCATTGCTATAAAGTGAACATACGGCTCTCTTCAGATAGGCATACCCCCACATTGGTCTTGCTAGTATCGACTACACAACTTTTTTTTCCAGTACATACTTAATCTTATTCTATTGCTAAGTCTTATCTTACCACTATTTCTAAGTCTTATCTTACCCTAATAGCTAAGTCTTATCTTACCCCTATTGCTAAGTCTTAACCGTTATTCTATTCTTATTGGTGATCAATAATAATAAATAAGAAGTATACACTCACTTTTATGTGACAGTGCATCGTCAAAAAAAAAATAATAATGAAAAAAAAAGATTAAAAAAAACCAAGAATATTTTTTTGCTATGTAGGACAGATACGTTTTAAGCGTCAAGAGTTATCGTTCCTGGCGTACTTTGTGTGTTTTAAAGAACCAAAACATCAAATAGAGAATTCTCATCTGATCTGTGGCTCCCATCATCATTTGGCAGCCAGCCATCCTTTTATCACCTCATGTTTCGTTACTTTGTCCTTGTCAGCGACTACATAGCTCATCTCAAACCAAGGGTCGATAACCTTTAGTTTTTTTTTTTAAAAAAAGTTTAAACAAAGAGTTATTCCGTGCATTATTTCTTGCAAAAAAAAAAAAAAAAAAAAAAAAAAAAAAAAAAAAAAAAAAAACCCAATAGAAAAGAATAAAAAAAAAGTATGTTCTTTTTTTCCGTTGGCCCTCAAAATTGTAGTAGAAAATTAAAACTAATTTTCTTTAATCTGACATTCATGGTTAATCTCCCTGCAGGTATTTTTTTCGGTCCTGAAACTCAGGGTTACCGTTCCTGCTGTTTCCCTCTAGCTCTCACATTCAGGATTACCGTTCCTTTAGACCTGATACTCAGGGTTACTGTTCTTGCCGTTTTTTGTTTAGATTTGACAGTCATGGTTACCGTTACTGCTGTTTCCCTTTAGACCTGACAGGGTTAACGTCCCTTTAGACCTGAACTCAAGGTTATCGTCCCTTTAGACCTGACCTCAAGGTTGTCGTCCCTTTAGACCTGACATTGCGGGGTACCGTCCCTTTAGACCTGACAGAGTTACTGTCCCTTTAGACCTGACAGGGTTACCGTCCCTTTAGACCTGATCCTAAGGGTTACTGTCCCTTTAGACCTGACAGGGATACCTTCCCTTTAGACCTGACAGAGTTACCGTTCCTGTAGTGTTGGCAAAGCGTAACTCTTTCCATGACCTATTCTCTAACGACGCCACGTGTCATAACAAAGTAAATAATAAATTGTAATCGACAGCATCATCAAACGCTGTAGATACATCTGTGGAAACACCGACGACTTCATGTCTTCTGTTATTATGTCGTGCCTTCAACCCGGTTTTTTAAAAAAAACCTTGTTTATACACCAATTAATTAAAAAAAAACAACATTTTTCTTAAAACATACATTAACAGATTAGGCAAGAATCAGCTAAAGTATTACCTTACAAATTTTACTTGTAATGCGTACTGTTTTACTGCGTAATCTCTAACGAAATCCGTACAAAACAAAATTTTTAATCACCAACGTCTGAGGCTTATATTTGAGGGGCTGACAAAATATAAAGGAGGGAGGGCGGAGAGTCATAAAACTATTTAAAACAGGAGGAGCAGAAGACGTTACTTATACTATAATTAATTAGTCGACATGTCGCGTGACGCCCCTTAATTGCCCGTGACAAAGGTGTTTGTGAATCAGTTCTTATTAAACCATTTCCGTTTTCCAATTTTTTTTTTGTAAGTGAAAGACCTAATTAACTTAATTAACGAAGAAAAGTAGGCTGCGTATTTTTTTTTCCGCAAAACAAGCCAAACAAAATATAATTTGGCTATGTTTCTCTACTAATGTATCCGCATAACAGACAATTGCTGAAATACATGGTTACCTGGCTATACACAGTGGCGCCCCCTACAGAGACAGGGGCAGAGTCCATTTTACCTCCCAACATCTGTTGGTCTTATTTTAGGATATCCAATGGCTAGGTTCTGGCGTTATGCAAACATGGAAGGACAGAGAGGTATTTGGGGAAGTAAAGTCCAACCAGGGGCATGGCGTGGTTGAATGGTAGTGTTATGGATTCCAAGCCTTTCTTTCTTCTTCTTCGTTATTAATTTTAGTGTTGGAAAGAGATTCCTTACAACACAATTAAGGATACGTGTCAACTGGTTATGCACCTTTTAGGCCGTTGACTCCGATTTCAGCCTGCTTTTCTTTTTGGTTTTGCTTCCATAGCCTTTGTCCAATCAAGAACAAACTACAAGGCAGCAGTTGTTTGATTTTGGAGTTGTCTCTCCTAAAAGAGTGGCTGTCCCAGCTATTGATCCTCATTTGCCCTGAGGTTCGAACTCGAGACTTTCCGGTTAAGCATACGTGAGGCTTAACATTTTAACACGAGTCTTAAGAAAAACAGATTTCAACGGACACGACCACGCCGACCTCCCATAGAGCATACAAAAGTCTCGAGTTCGAATCCGGGTTCAAGTCCGTAGAACGTACCTGAGTCAACCCAGCTCTAATGGTTACCTAACTCACGTTAGGGAATGTAAAGGCGGCTGCGTAGAGCTGACCACACAATCCCTTCATATACCGAGGTCACAGACAGGTGAACTTTACTTCATTTGCCCTATAGACCGTTATATTCGAGAGATAACTTCACTGACTTGTTTATATTTCTCTCCTCTCCAGGTAACATGCACACGGTAATGGATGACGTCATCTGCACGTGCCTGACGCGCGTGTACGCTGACCACGCCGCGCGCACTGACCGGCTGACCTGCCGGCTGGAGCACGCCCTGCCCATCCGGCACAGCTTCTTCCGGCTCAAGCGGGTACCGCACTTCCAGTCACGTGATGACCTTCACAGCGAGCACACGCCCGCTTACCTCCCCATTTACAGGTAAAATCTGTCGAGCACACGCCCGCTTACCGCCCCATTTACAGGTAAAATATGTCGAGCACACGCCCGCTTACCTCCCCATTTACAGGTAAAATATGTCCAGCACACGCCCGCTTACCTCCCCATTTACAGGTAAAATATGTCCAGCACACGCCCGCTTACCTCCCCATTTACAGGTAAAATATGTCGAGCACACGCCCGCTTACCTCCCCATTTACAGGTAAAATATGTCCAGCACACGCCCGCTTACCTCCCCATTTACAAGTAAAATCTGTCGAGCACACGCCCGCTTACCTCCCCATTCACAGGTAAAATCGGTCGAGCACACGCCCGCTTACCTCCCCATTTACAGGTAAAATCTGTTTGGCACACCCAGAATTTCTTCCACTCTACCCCCCCCCCCCCCCGAACGAAATGAAATTTATATAGAAAATATATACTTTTAACAGTGTCCGCCACCTCTAAAAAAGTCTACCGCCCCCCCCCCTCTAAAATTTCAAGTGCTACCCCCCGAGAAAAAAGTCTGAAAGAAACACTGAGCATACGCCCGCTTACCTCCCCATTTACAGGAAAAAATCTGTCTAGCACACCCAGAGTTTCTTCTAGTCTACCGCCCCCCCCCCCTCGAACGAAATGAAATTTATATAGAAAATATATACTTTCAACAGTGTCCGCCACCCCTAAAAAAAGTCTACCCCCCCCCCCCTAAAATTTCAAGTGCCCCCCCCCCCCCCGGAGAAAAAAGTCTGAAAGAAACACTGAGCACACGCCCGCTTACCTCCCCATTTACAGGTAAAATCGCGCACATTTGTACAGGTAACTCTTCACCTCTCACCTGTAACTTTGATTTCCTCTCAGACCTGCTCGTGCTTACATCACTGTTTCCCAATTTCTGTAAGCATGTTTACTTAGGTCATTGAGTGTATGTAAACATCTTGAATTACAAAATGATTTTCACGAACACGATCGTTAATAAATATTATGATTGTGAAAAAAATTGTTACGGGAATTTCCGTATTGGTAGCCTACTTTCATTACGAGTTATGCGACACCTCCCATGGTGTTCACATAGATTACAACAGAAAGTCCTAGACTTGATCTTTCTTAGAAGATACAATTACAGACATTTACTTTTTCACGTTTTAATTGTAGTAAGAAGCTACACACGAAGACACTGCAGTTTTAACAATACTTAAGAAAAGTTGATTTAAAAAAAATAATTTTTAAGCAAACTGATTTTTCGTTTTGAATCATTTTAGTGTAGCAAAGTAATGCATTTACTAATATACGTGAAATAAAATAAAAAAAAAATAAAAATCGTATTACACCCCCCATGCTAGTTTTTCGAGCACTATTCATCGTAATAAATCGAGCCTTACATAGGGATAGCGTCACTAGAAACTTTCTCAAGGGAGGAGGGGAGGGGGGCGGACTAAAATTTCACGGGGGATGTACACTGGTAAAAGTAAATATTTTCAATATAAATTCTATTTTGTTAGGGTGGGGGGGGGGGTGTACCTCCGAAGAGATGCTTGAAAGAAACACTGTACAGTAGAACGAAACTCTCTAGGATTAAAATAATGTGTGAACAAAATTACGCACTGATTTGAAACCTTTTATAGCTGCCTTAACTTCTTAGGCCTATCTAAAGTGTCATACTTATTCAGCGTTTTATTATCTCTCGATCTGTCTCTCTCTCTAGGCTAGAGAACGCCTCGCTGGAGAGCCTCTCCCAGAAAAGCAAAGCCGGCTGCCGGAGAGTCCTGATCGAGGGCGACCTGGGCACGGGCAAGACCCTGGTCTGCCAGCGCCTGTTGCACGAGTGGGCCAAGGCCATGCAGTTCTTCCGGCACGTCAACATCGACAAGGCCTACATCAGGGAGGGGGAGGGGGAGAAAAGCACGGGTCATCAACGGCAGGCCCGCGGGGATGGAGGGGGCGGGAAGAACCCGGCTGACCCGGGGGAGGAGAACGACGAGGAGGCGGACGGGGATATCCGGCGTCCGCGCCGGCAGTGGAATTTGGAGGCGTTCGGTGCCTCGTCTTCAGAGCACGCCGCGGGTCAGAGGTTAACCGCAGGGGTCAAGGTTACCGTGAGTAAAAGTAAAAGCCACGACGATGCGTTGAGTAAAAACTGTGACGTCAAGGAGAACGATTCAACCGGAAGTGACGCGAATTCCGCTAACGGAAACCACCGATCTCGGAAAGCTCTTTTCGTGGAGCAGCAGGAAAAAGAGCAGAGCAGGAGGGCGGCGGGCGGGAACGGCTCATCGAGGTCAAGGTCAAACGGGAGAATGCGAAAGGGGAGCCGGAGCCGAAGCAGCGGCGATGCTGAGAAAGACAGCGTCACCAGGAAACGGGAGAAAGCCATCTGCGACGGCATCCCTCAGAAGTACCTCTCCCTCCTCAACATCGGCTCGCCCGGGGAGGGGGCGTTCGAGTCCCCGAACCGGATGAAAGGCCCGTTCCGGGAACCGCGGCGCCAGCGGCCGTCACGGCTGACCAGCAACCTGACGGACTACAAGGCCATGATCTACGTGCCGTGCGTGCGCATGTCCCTGGCGGAGATCCTCACCAAATGCAACAACTCCCGCGTCCGGCATTACTACGTGGCGGCGTCCGTCTTGCTGGACCTTCTGGTTCTGAGCGACGTCCAGCATCAGACGATCTCCTTCGACGCGGCGTACCACTGGGTGCTGACCAACCGTGAAGACATCTGCATCATCTTCGACAACATCGACGGCTCCGACGCCTGGCAGAGGCTGATCACCGACGCCTTCCACGACAAAGACGGGTTTGGTAAAATGATAGTGGCCGCTACCCCGGGGCGGATCTCAAAACGTGACGTCGACACCCTATTTTACTGTTACGGACTAGCCAGCGAGTACAGCAACAAGACTTTACTCTCCAGACTAAGAACGGAAGCGCCGAACGTCGTGGATCGAATCTCATTCCTACTGAGTTCCAACCACATTCAAGAACTGTTGTGTAACCCGTTAAGTTTATCCTTGCTGACGGCGTACTTCAGAAGTGTCAAGGACGAAGATGATATCCCGGAACACCTCTCGGAACTGTTGGAGATTTTGATACACCACGCTATGGCGCATGAGACGAACACTGTCCAAAACATCACAAAAGGACGACGGACGAGATTCTCCCTACAAGGCGTCTGCGAGACGGTTGCCTTCGAATGTTTAGAAAACGACACGAACTATTTCTCCAAGCAGAAATTCCCCAAACAGTTTTGGGTCCGGCATTTGTGCGACTGTCGTGTTCTTCACGAGGTTCACGAAATTGCGAATTTCGCGTCCATTCACGACAGACCAGTGTCGCCCATCGTCAACCCCGCCATCACCCCCGACAGCGACTCCGTACACAGCAGCGCGTCCTCCAGTTTTGAGATCAACTTCCACACAGACCTCACCTCCAGCACTCAAAACCTCGCCGAACAAGACAACGAAGCGTCTCCTAGCAACCGCGTTGACTCAACCGGAAACACACGACTGCAAGTACCCACAATCCACACCGCGGGAGACCCGTCGAAAAAAATCGCCGACCGTCCGAAATTTTTATCCATCGATACGAAAAAATCCCCAACGAAGATGGTGCAAACTACACAAGCAAGCGGTGAGATCGTCTCTTTCACAAGTCGATGTATCCGGGATTTTCTGGCATCGAAGAGGGTGTGTCGGTACCTAATGTCAGACCGGGACTGCGAGGGTTTCATCCAGAGGCTGATCGCCAAGCCTCAGTTCTACCCCGTCCTGCGTCTGACCGTCCGGAGCCTCTACATCCTTGACCGCTCGGACCTCATCCTCAACCTTCTCGACATGCTACTCACGTCTCAAGAACTCAACGCCCAGATTCCTTTTGGGCTCAACGCCTCTTCTCCACCTCGCGGCCCGTCCCCTCCTAATTTCGGAGACACGGTGATCCGGGTTCGAGTCCCGCACAAGTACAGAATCTCCAATTCGGACTGTCCGTTTAGGGCGAAGAAAGAAGACTTGAAACAAAGACGGTCGTCCACGTCCATCTTGGGCACGTGTTTTGAGGGGCCGCCTTCTTTAAGTTCTTCCCCAGGATTCAGTCGTCTGCTGAACAACACGTCAATGCTGAGTCCCTTCACGATCCCGCCTTCTCCAGAGGCAACTAGAGGGTAAGATTTGACATAGTTAAATCATAGTGAAATAATAGACCTTGGGGATGATCTTAGAAACCGATGTACGATAATAGACTATTCCATTATGGTTAGAAATTAGGGTTAGGGGTATGGTAGGACCAGGGTTTGGGTTAGTGACAGGGTGAGCATTGACATTAGCCAGCCAAGTGTGTATTTAGTTAACTACCAGTAACCTAACACCCCTTTTTTAAAGAAGATTCTATTATCGGACACAAGTATAAAAATTCCCCCAAACAACTTGGTCCTAATGTAAAAACAATTACAACAACCAGAGCATACTTTACGATCTCAATAAATAAACATTAAAAATATAATTGCGTTTCGACACAACTACATAACAATACACATTTACAGGGAGTCAATTAAAACAATAAAACCGCATATTTATGTTTACCTTTAGATCATTAATTATTTGTTTTTCAACACAAACATGTAGGTCCTTTGTTCCTTTAATTTTTATTTCAGTTTTTGTGCTCTAATATTGTTTCTGTAATATTAAAGGAGTTTAAACAGACTGGTCTAAAGGTTAAAAAAATGTTTGTACCCAACCTGATGTTTCTTATCCAAAATATTCAAATGTTCTAAATACTTGTCCAAATGTTCCATACACTTGTCCAAATGTTCCATATACTTGTCCAAATGTTCCATATACTTATCCAAAAGTTCCAGCAACTGACACTTGTTCCACTGTTGCAGGTACCTCGAGGACTTCAAGGAAGCGCTCATCTGGCTGGCAGAGACTGACAACAGCGAGCCGTACATCGGCGCCGTGTCCAACCGCTTCCCCGACACGCTGGTCATCTCCTACCAGGACTGCCCCTCGGAGACCATCGACCACTTCATCTGCCTGACCATGCGCAGCAGCCCTGTCGTCCGGGAGGTTGTGCTGTATATGAGCGGGTTCTACGCCCAGTGGGACCTAGGCCTGCGTTTAGCTGAAGCGTTGCAAGAGCTTAAAAATTTAACAGTGCTGCGGATAAGTATGAAGTGTGTGGTGGAAACGACGTTTTTGGTGGATTTTATATGCGAGTGTTTTGAGAGGAACGACCATATTGAAACTCTCTGTCTAGAAGGGCCGATGAACGTAGCGGAGAATCTCACCCCCGCTGAGCACAAGCGGGTTTTCAACACCTTCCATGAGCAGCGAGGGTTGAAGACGCTGGTTCTCGACCACTTCAGCTACCACCATAGGATCAGCTACATTTTAAGCTGCTGGCCCAACGTCATCACCGGTCTGCAGATCAAGCGCTCCAACGTCGACAGCGTGGCGGAGAGAATCAACGAGAAGATTTCCAGGTGTCCGGCGCTCGCGTCCTTGACCTTAGAGAACTGTTTCGTCCCGACGTATTGTCTGTTCTCTATCGTCAGCCATATTGCCCAACACGCCCCCGTGTTAAACATCGTCACCATCGAACTAACTCTTCTTTCATCGGCGAGAAAGTTTAGCAAAAACGACGCTAAAAAAACTTACTTCCGGCCAGCCTTGACCTATGACGTCTGCGTCGAACTAGCAAATATTGTTAAGAACTCCACAAGTCTCAAAAACCTTCTGCTCAGTTATAATGGGCTGACAGACGACAAAGCGAAAGTACTCTTGCGTTCTACTGTCGAAAGCCGATCGCTCGCCTCCCTTGATCTCACGGGAAACCTCATAGGCAATGACGTAGAGGAAGACGTCATTCTGTTGTTGAGCAAAGCCAACCAATTGAAATCCTTGTTACTTGGCGACAACAACATCACGAAAGAAACAAGGAGCGCCATCATTCGGGGATCTCTAAGTCGACATGACCTACGGCTAAGCCTCTAACATAAAAAAAAATTGTTTCATGTTAACAAATGCAAATCGATAAATTTTATTTATCAGGATATACTCTAAAAATATACTATTACCTTATATTAGTTCTCGTTGCTTAAAAAAACAACATTTGGTTTGTTCTTAAAGAGGGGTTTCCTTCTACCTCTTTTGTCCAAAAAAAAAAAAAGGGGGGGGGGGGGTCCATGGTTAAAGTATATATTTTCTCTAAAAACAATTTCTCTTCTATTGGGACAGGTGTGAAAGGGGGTGGGGAATGTGTATACGAGCTCCATTAAGTAGTGGTGCTTGAAAAAACAAACTGTTTAACAGATCAAATTTTAAATTTACACATTTTAACACATATATAGGCCTATTTGAAAACTGTCAACTGTATGTGTTGAATTCGGTGTGTGGAGTTTAGTATATTGGCAATGGTGGAATCATGCCTATCATTTCCTATTGTTGCTGATTGTAAGGTATAACAACGAGCAGTGGATATAACGGTTATATATTTTAAGCTCATGAGTTGGAGGGGTGGGAGCAGGAATGAAACAGAATAATTAATCGCAGCATTGACAGTCATCTTCTCTTCTGTATGAAGTAAGATTTAAACATGGACCACAAACAAAAATTACTACAAACCAAGAAACGAAACAAAAATATTTAACGATTCAGTGTTTAGATTATCAGAAGGTAAATGATAGTAACAAAATGGTAGCACGTTTTAAAGAGGCATGAGAGAATCTAGGACCATATAGTGGGGGAGAGAGGTGTGTGGGGGGATGTTTGTGGGGTGGGGTTTTAATGTACATTGCATAAACTGACAATACATGACTATCATTAGAAAAAATTATTGTGCCTTTAAAAACAAAGCCTTTTGATATCATAATATAAGCATAACAAATAAAATAAACAAAACACAACCAGCTTCAACAAAAATGTTGAAAAATGTGAGAAAAAATTAGAACAGAAAATGTTGTGAAAAAACATTAATTTTGTTTTAAAAATACAAATGCAATCATAGTATTAACGGAAAGTGCAGTTTTATCTAACAAATACGATTGAAACATCATTCACAAGTTAACATATATTTGACTTTTCGAGCAAAGGTTTTTTTCACAAAAAAAATATAATAAAGACTAAAAAAGAACAACAAAAAACAAGTCATTTGTGTACTTTCATGGAATAAGTAGTATTTTCGTTAAAAAAGTGTGTTTGCTTATCATTGATTTTTAAAACCAAAGCATTTTATTGTGATATAATTATTCTTACTTGTGTATATTATTGATAAAAAATAAGTTTTAGAAATAAACAAAAAAATACTGCACTGCATTAAGAGTTATTTTTACCGCTGTTTGTAGATAAACAATTTGTATTTGTGCGTGTATAGGAGACTTTTTAAAAATATAAGTGTGTATAGGCCTACATGTGTTTTGTGAGTTTTGTGAATTTGTTATGTGCTAAATTTTCCGGGTGGGGGCGGATCGGGGGGGGGGGGGGGGGAAAGGGGGAGACTTTCTTCTCCGCCCCCCCCCCCCCTTTTTTTTTACAAGAGATGCCTGAAAGAAACTCTAATCGCGGATCATTGCGGATGATAGATTTATTTAGGAAGGTTAGCTGGATGCGCATATGAAACTGGCGGGGTTTGGTACCTCCAAAACGTTAAGAACCACTGTATTACACACATTTTGGGAATATTAAACACAATTATGACAATCTCTTTATTTTAAAGAGAAACGCTTAAAATGTGTATTAATAAAAATCGCAAATTTTAAGTTAAAGTAGATTATTAACCCAAAAAGACACATTATTATATCCATCCAACCATGACAACCAACTAGCAACATCACAAGACAGGCATTAGATTGGAATCCCCAAAGAAAGAGGAAAGTAGGTAGGCCAAAACATATCTATATGGAAAAGGTCAGCTGTCAATGAAGCAGAAGCAGCCGGAATGACGTGGGCCCAACTTGGAGGAATCGCCCAGAAACGATGGAGAGGTGTGCAGAGTTTCTTCCAGGCATCTCTTCGGGTGCGCTCCCCCCCCCCCCCACACACACACCGAAGAAAGTCTACCGCCCCTCACGAACGAAATGGAATTTATATAGAAAACATATACTTTTACCAGAGTCCGCCTCCCCCCACGGAAAATGTTGTCCGCCCCCCCCCCCCCCCCCCGGAAATATCGAGTGCCCCCCCCTCCCCCCACCCTGGAGAAAAAGGTCTGGAAGAAACACTGGAGGTGTGGTTTCTTCCCTAGGCTCCAGGAGGGGTCCACAGGAATGTTAATGATGACGAGGAACCATAACAAACTGCAGACACTTTGAGACAAGGAGACTAAATTAATGTACTCAGTATTACATTACCCCATTTAGGCTATTCCATTTGCTACAAAAGAACGAAAGGATAAATCAAACCAATATCTCTATACCTTTTTGTGCACAATCTTGAGACAAGTAAAAATCAACCCGAAAATAACATGCCCAATCAGAAGGTTATGCGGTTTAATCTGTATGAGATAGGAAGTACCCAGTGCCGGCGCCAGCGTATTTAGCACCCTAGGCAAAACTTATTATAAGCGCCCCCCACCCCCCCCCCCCCAATTTTTTTCCTGCCCCCGTTTTATCAGAGGCGTAGCGACCCTTCCCGGCGCCTGGGGAAAAACTTTCGATTTGCACCCCCCCCCCCCTCAAATTTTCGATTTGCACCCCCCTCAAACTTTCGATTTGCACCCCCCTCAAACTTTCGATTTGCAACCCCCCCCCCCCCCCCCTCAAACTTTCAATTTGTTTTTCCAACCCATTTTGGCGCCATACGGACAGCGCCCGCGGCGACGGCCTAGTTCGCCTTATAGGTAGCGCCGGCCCTGGTAGTACCTAATATAACCTAGGCTCCATTTTTTTTGCTTTAACGATATGGGAATGGAAAACCACTGTATCAGGCAGGATTACTTTCATGCATTTTTCTACGGGGGGGGGGGTCCACTTTTCATGAAGAGGGAGTAGGGTGCGGGCAATTGTGAAACAAATATTTTCTGTACAAAATTATGTTATTTTTTTCCATTTGGGCCTAAGGGCGGTGGTGATGCTCTGATGGTGGGGGGGGGGGGGGGGATCCTCCGGAGAAAATGCATGGAAGAAACCCTGGTATCTTTTATAAACACTCGACTCAGAAATCTTTGCATCAGCTGGCTCAGTGTCATAACAATGCAGATCTTGGGCAGCTAACAGCCTAAGGAACTAATGTCGTCGAAGAAGATTATTTTTCCGAGAGAAAATAACGATGGAATCGGACGACAAGCCTAGAAAAAAAGACCATCCTTGCCTCAAAAACCCAAGATCATTCATTTTTAATTCAAATTTGTTTTGGTTCTTTTTTTCCCGAATTTTAAAACTCTTTCAAAAACAGTACAAAGTTAAGATAATCCCGAAATCGCAGCTGACGACCAAAACATTGTATTGCTTGGATATCAAACAGTTTTATGACCTGTAGTCTGTAGTCTCATAATATGTATTAGATTTGTTTAAAAAATAGGTTATTTTCTATTTATATATAGAATAGCTTCTAGATCTATTTTCTGAAAAATGTCTATCGAACAATTCGTTAATAAAACTTTAGAACTTATCGACAAAGAGAGAGATGCCGAAATTGAGGAAACGCAGTAAGTTATTTTTTTCATGTTTGTTTTAGTTTTGTTAGTTCTGTTAGTTCATCAAGTTAACAAGGAATTAATTGAATTATTTATATAGTTTAGTGTAAACAATATAGAGGCCTAGATCTAGAAGACAACTAAGTAGGTACTTCTTTACTGACATATATATTGTCAAGTTCTGTTAGTTGGTGACGAGTGGTGGTGTCAATTTAATTTTGAGAATAGAATGAAGAATGCAGTTGTGTGTTTTTGAGTTTGAGTGTTTACAGTTCACCACAAATATTTGGCAATATTTGGGTTGGGGAGGAATAATGTGGCTTTATTTTTTTTTTAAATTTGTAATGTTCAGTACACCTGTGAGTTTACCACAAATCCGAGTTGTCGTAAATTTTTCCCTGCTGCTGTGAATTTTTTATCTTTGTCAAATCTGTATACATTATTATATACTAGATCTAGATCTATATAAGGCATAAGGCATGAAAATGAGGGTAGATGACCTATTTTAGTATGATGGTTTGTTTCACTGTCAATCCTGTTGAGACCAGTAGGTTAGGCTAACTCTATTAATGTCTACAAATTTATTATTTAAATTTCATCTAGGCCCTAAATATCTAAATAAATTATTAGCAAATTGATTTTAGTTATAATAATCTAGACCAAGTTATAACAAAAAAAAAGATTGAATATTAAATATTATAAATTATAAACTCCAGGTATTTAACTGAAAAGTTATCTGCTAAAGAATTAGAACGCAGAGGAGTTTGCCTGTTAAAACTTCAAATAAAAGCACGAAGGTCTGGTTTGTATGGCCGCATGGTTGCAGTCTTTGAACCACAACTAAAACATGGAGCAGTGAAAAACTCTAAACCGGAGCTTTCATCTCACAACTTATCACCAGGTATGATATGGTAATATGAAAACACATCTGATCATTTTGTAGTAAGATTTGTTTGTGTAAGATACTAATTAATACAACTCATCTGTGCACAATTTTCATGCTGAAAAATGAAAATAAAATATTCTTAAACAAATGCTCTTAGACACATTTATATTTTGCAATGTATTTACCCATGTTTCTGTACTATGAAAAATTATATGTGGTTTAAAAAAAACCTAAGAAAAAAAAGTTAGAATTTGGCAATAATAATTAGTGTATATAATACTTACTTACACAATTTAGGCAAAATTTATTAACATTTAAAATGTTAATGTCCAGGTGATATTGTTGGTGTGGGGTTGATGAAAAGTGAAGCCACTGACAAACCCTTGGCCACTGGCATTGTTTCACAAGTGACCAGCTCCAACATCTCCATAGCTTTTGATGAGTCTCAGGATATTTTTGAGCTTGATGATGATGCGCTGTATAAACTAACAAAGCTAGCCAATGATGTTACATACCGCCGCTTGAAAACGTGAGTGTTTATAGTCTTTTTCTCTCTCAGATTTTTTTTACATTGAAAGAAAATAAAACAAAGACAAAGTGGATTTGTTGAGATTAAAAAATATCTTAACCAATTTTTAATTAAATGTATACCCTCATCATTGCTAGATTTTTATTTACAAAGCAGTGCTGTTTTTAAATTGCTATCAGGCTTATAAAATAAACAGTTACTATTAAATAAAATCATGAACTGTATTTTGCTATTTGTCTGTTTTCTAGTACATTGAAAGACCTGGCCAAATATAGAGGGGGACCAGCACAGAGACTTGTGGATACTTTTTTCTGTATTGAAGAGGTTTCAGCACCCAGTGGGGAATTTCGTGAGTAGACTTAGCATTATTTGCAAATTTGATATACTTGTTTTTTTTTATCAAAGTAAAATAAATTTCTAGCCCTTACATTCAATAGATCAGATAAAGTTGATCTACTACTGTGTCCACATTAAATGAACTCTTTATGTAGCCAGTAAGCTGCACAGCCATTCGTATCTTCTCAACCGTGGCTGCTCAGGAATATCCTAAAGGCTTAATTAGAAAAAACTGCAATCCTTTTTTTAAAATAAATAGTACAAGATGATAAACTACATACATTTTTGCTGTAATTTGTTTTAAAATAATGTATTATCCTCAATTACTATTTTATGCACAGTATTTTCGTGTAGTTTATTCTAACTAAATTTTATTTTTAACTATTCTATATTCTATATTCTATTTTTAACGAAGAAATTTTGTTCAACAAAAAAAAAAAAAGAAAAATAATTATTTATACAATTTTTTAAAATTTTTGTTTCAAAAAATCCATTTAGTTATTGTTCATGGCACCTCAAAATCAAGATTCAACATTAATATTCACAATATAACTCATACCCCATCATAAAATGCTCAGAAATATTAACAATTCTATATTTAGCCATAAGTTTTGTGAATGAAAATCTGGATGAGTCTCAGCGAGATGCTGTCAAGTTTGCCCTGACTCAACGAGAAGTTGCTATCATACATGGCCCACCTGGTACTGGCAAGACAACAACTGTGGTGGAGTTGATCATTCAGGCAGTGAGGCAAGGGTTAAAGGTCAGTGTGTTATATGATTTAAGTTGATCATTCAGGCAGTGAGACAAGGGTTAAAGGTCAGTATGTTATATATAAGTTGACCTTTCAAACAATGAGACAAGGGTTAAAGGTCAGTGTGTTAAAATATAAGTAAATCAAATAAGGCAGTGCTACAAGGGGTAAAGGTCTGTTTGTTATATAGGTTGATCATTCAGGCATTGAGACAAGGGATAAAGGTCAGTGTGTTATATATACGTTGACCTTTCAGACAATGAGACAAGGGTTAAAGGTCAGTGTGTCTTAAAATATGAGTTGATCATTCACACATTGCACAATGGAATAAAAAGAGTTGATAGTTCAGGCATTGAGGCAAGGGTGAATTGTCTGTCATATGATCCATAATTATCAAAAAGTTGTTTCAGGAAAACTTAAAAGTAAAAGATTTTCTACAGACATTGAATCACAAAAGTTTTTACATACTTTTTTTTAATAAAATAAAAAATAAACAGTTGATGCAGACAATTTTGTTTATGATATTGTAGAAATCCTACTTTCAAAGTTTATTCGTGTTTTTGTATCTGTGAAATTGTAGATATCCTGTTTTTATTGTTATGTTTATTCATTTTTTGGTATCTGTCATATTGTAAATATGTTTTCACTGTGTCTATTCACATTTTTGTATCTGTGATATTGTAGATACCTTGTCTTTCAATGTTGTGTTTATTCATGTTTTGGTATCCCCCCTAGGTCCTGGCCACTGCCCCCTCCAACATCGCAGTGGACAACCTGGTGGAGAGACTAGCCAATCACAAGCAGAAGATTGTCCGTATCGGCCACCCTGCCAGACTCCTCAGCCACATCCAGAAATATTCCCTGGATGCCATTGTGTCAGGCAGCGAGGAGACCGGCATTGTCAAGGACGTGAAGTCTGATTTTCAGAAAGCCCTGGTGTGTACATACACTCTTGGGAAATTATTATAAGAATGTGGGTTAGGGTGGCTTTGTAAATATAGGATGGTGATAGTTAATAACATAATGACAGTGTTTGAAGCTGGCACTGCAGAAGTTGTTTGGTCATCCTTTATGTTGGGAGTAAGGTGGTTCAATCTGTGTACCCATAACTTTGGATAGATTGTCTGATCTATGAGATCCCATACCTTGAGGCTGGGGAAGGTCTTAATCTGTAAGGTCCCATTACTGTGAAGCTAGAGGGCTCTCAATCTGTAAGGTCTCTTTTTGAGGCTGGGGGTCAAATTCATGAAATCACATATCTTGGGGGGGGGGGGGGGGGGGGGCTTCAATCTGTAGGGTCCTATTTCTTAAGACTGGAAGTGTTCCATTCCAATTCATAAGATTAAGGGGGGGGGGGGGCGGGTCACAATCCATGAGTTCCCTTTTCTTAAGGCTGGGATAGGGGGTAGGGTCTCACTTTGTAAAGACCCATACTTTGAGACCTAGGATCTTTTTTATTAATTAAAAACATCATTTCTAGTTCTTGTCTTTTAATGTATTACTTTACTTTTTTAAAAATCTAAGTTATTAACTCAGTTTGTGACACTTTAAATTGCTATTTAAATATTTGGTTGTAATAAAATGTGTATCAAACATCCAGTCCAAGTTAAAGAAAGCTCGAGGGCACGGGGAGAAGAATGCCCTGAGAGAGGAGATGAAACATCTGAGGAAGGAGGCGACAAAGAGGGAGGAGGCGGCCACTAAAGAAATCCTTTCTAGGGCTGACGTTGTTCTGGTCACCCTGACCAGTGCCACAAGAGACGGTCCACTGAAGTATCTGAAGGAGGATCATTTTGATTTGGTGGTTATTGACGAGTGCTCACAGGTTGGTGTGTCTTGTTTGTTATTGCTGAATCTTTGTTTTGTAAACTCATTATAAATCAATACATCAGATTAGAATCATAATTTTTCCCTTTTGTGCTCAAGACACATGGGCCAGATGAAGTAGAGTTCATCTGCTTGAGTTGACCTTAACATCCCTCAAAGGGATAGTATGCCCAGCTGCCTTTGTTTTCCCTAACGTGAGTTACCCATCAGAGCTGGATAGACTCAGTGACATTCTACTGATTTGAACCCGATTTCGAACTTGAGACTTTCAGGGTAGCAGTCTAGCTGAGATTAGAATGATCATTGTAAAACATCACAGCATTTGAGAATGACCATATAAATCTGTACATGAGATTAGAAGGACCATTATAATTAAGATAAATTTATCATCAAGAGTGATCATTTTAAATTGAAGACGTTTTAGAGTGATTATTATTAATCAATACATCGTTTAGTGTCATTGTAAACCAGTACATTATTTTAGAGTGGCCATTTTAGAGTGATCATCATCAGTGAATAAAACTTATTAAGAAATAATTGATCACTGTATTTTCCCATGTTAGTCAATTCTGTATCTTTGTGCCATTTAAATCTGTATTATTGAGTCATTAACCCATTACACATATAACATAGACCTTTTAAATGGAATGAAATTAGTTAAAAATTTATTGTTTCTACCCCCTTCTCAGGCCCTGGAGGTTGCGTGCTGGATTGGTCTGATGAGGGCAAGAAGATGTGTACTGGCTGGTGACCATCTACAGCTACCTCCTACCATCCTATCCAAGGAGTAAGTTTTATTAGAGTTACAGTATGAATAAAATGTTAGAGTTACAGTATGAATAAAATCTTAGAGATTACAGCTACCTCCTACCATCCTATACAAGGAGTAAGTTTTATTAGAGTTACAGTATGAATAAAATGTTAGAGTTACAGTATGAATAAAATGTTAGAGATTACAGCTACCTCCTACCATCCTATCCAAGGAGTAAGTTTTATTAGAGTTACAGTATGAATAAAATGTTAGAGATTACAGCTACCTCCTACCATCCTATCCAAGGAGTAAGTTTTATTAGAGTTACAGTATGAATAAAATGTTAGAGATTACAGCTACCTCCTACCATCCTATCCAAGGAGTAAGTTTTATTAGAGTTACAGTATGAATAAAATGTTAGAGATTACAGCTACCACCTACCATCCTATCTAAGGAGTAAGTTTTCTTAGAGTTACAGTATGAATAAAATGTTAGAGATTACAGCTACCACCTACCATCCTATCTAAGGAGTAAGTTTTCTTAGAGTTACAGTATGAATAAAATGTTAGAGATTACAGTTACCTCCTACCATCCTATCTAAGGAGTAAGTTTTACTTAGAGTTACAGTATGAATAAAATGTTAGAGATTACAGTACAGTTACCTCCTACCATCATATCTAAGGAGTAAGTTTTATTAGAGTTACAGTATGAATAAAATGTTAAAGATTACAGTTACCTCCTACCATCCTATCTAAGGAGTAAGTTTTATTAGAGTTACAGTATGAATAAAATGTTAGAGATTACAGCTACCTCCTACCTCGTTACTATCTCTTCATATGCCGAGGTCACAGAAACAAGTGAACTCTACTTCACTTGTCCCATAGACCATCATGTTTGAAAGGGAAACTTTACTGGAACATTGATACATTAAAACATGTTAAAGATGTTTAAAAATTTATGAAATGCTAACCTTATTTTAAGTTGTTTTTTTTTTTAAATTTAAAATAAATATGAGTTATGCAATAGAGAATAAATTACCTTTGCAGTATGATTTTTACATCTGACTAATAACACCTTAAAAATACTATCTTAGATGTTACATATTAAATATTCTGTAACTAAGGATGTAGGCCCTATTTATAAATTGTGAAATGTAGTCCATCCTGTATTAAATTGTTTTACACTTCACCCTTATAGAGCAGCTAGCGCTGGCCTGGAAGTGACCTTGATGGAACGTCTGGTCAAGATGCTGGTCAAGGAGAAAGGTAAAGATGTGATGAGGATGCTGACCACCCAGTACCGCATGCACGAGGACATCATGGCCTGGGCTTCCAGTCAGTTGTATGATGGGAAGCTAAAGGCCCACAACTCTGTGGCTTCACATTTACTCAGGTCAGTTGTATGATGGGAAGCTAAAGGCCCACAACTCTGTGGCTTCACATTTACTCAGGTCAGTTGTATGATGGGAAGCTAAAGGCCCACAACTCTGTGGCTTCACATTTACTCAGGTCAGTTGTATGATGGGAAGCTAAAGGCCCACAACTCTGTGGCTTCACATTTACTCAGGTCAGTTGTATGATGGGAAGCTAAAGGCCCACAACTCTGTGGCCTCACATTTACTCAGGTCAGTTGTATGATGGGAAGCTAAAGGCCCACAACTCAGTGGCTTCACATTTACTCAGGTCAGTTGTATGATGGGAAGCTAAAGGCCCACAACTCTGTGGCTTCACATTTGCTCAGGTCAGTTGTATAATGGGAAGCTAAAGGCCCACAACTCTGTGGCTTCACATTTACTCAGGTCAGTAGTATGATGGGAAGCTAAAGGCCCACAACTCTGTGGCTTCACATTTACTCAGGTCAGTTGTATGATGGGAAGCTAAAGGCCCACAACTCTGTGGCTTCACATTTACTCAGGTCAGTTGTATGATGGGAAGCTAAAGGCCCACAACTCTGTGGCTTCACATTTACTCAGGTCAGTTGTATGATGGGAAGCTAAAGGCCCACAACTCTGTGGCTTCACATTTACTCAGGTCAGTTGTATGATGTGAAGCTAAAGGCCCACAACTCTGTGGCTTCACATTTACTCAGGTCAGTTGTATGATGGGAAGCTAAAGGCCCACAACTCTGTGGCTTCACATTTACTCAGGTCAGTTGTATGATGGGAAGCTAAAGGCCCACAACTCTGTGGCTTCACATTTACTCAGGTCAGTTGTATGATGGGAAGCTAAAGGCCCACAACTCTGTGGCTTCACATTTACTCAGGTCAGTTGTATGATGGGAAGCTAAAGGCCCACAACTCTGTGGCTTCACATTTACTCAGGTCAGTTGTATGATGGGAAGCTAAAGGCCCACACATTTACTCAGGTCAGTTGTAGTGTTGGTTATATAGGTGCTTGAATCTGATTCTAGAAAATTGCTTGAACCTGGTTTTGGAAAATTGTTTTGGGGAATAACTTTGGAAAATAGGTTAAATCTGGTTTTGGAAACTTTCCAAGCTTTGATTTTGAAAATAAAAAGCAAGCTAGTGTCGGTTTTTGAATTTTGCTGAATCGCTTTTTAAATTTTGATTGGGTCTAGTCTTGCTACTTCGCTTGACTGATTTGTGATGTGAAAAAGTTCTTTGATCTTAATTATAAACTGGTTCTAATATATCTCAGGAAAAATTGAGTTTACATGGTCAGAGAAGTAAGTTTGGATTAAATGTGAATGGTACATTTGGAATTTGTAACATAGAAAGTACAAAGGGAGATCAGTTGAAGTGAAAAGGAATGCTAGCATAAATATTTACTGAATGTCACTGTACATCAAATGCACAAAACAAACTATACAGATATATCATTTGGATGCTGCAAGAAGTAGACAGATGCTGCTATATTTTAAAGTCTTTTTAATTGGATTCCAATGTCTTTCTTATTTTTTAATTACAGTGACCTTGACAGTGTGTCAGCGAGTGAAGAAACTAGGTCACCTCTGCTGTTGATTGACACTGCAGGTTGTGACCTCCATGAACTTGACCTACCTGATGAGTTATCCAAGGGAAATGAAGGTAGAGTCTACACCTAAACCTACCTGTACAAACCACATCTTTTATTGTATACGAGCCGACCCGCGGTGTATCATACGCCGCTATTTAGTTGTTGTTTTTTCTACTTTTTAGTAATTCATAATTTGTGAATTCAACAGTACCAATGCTGCCACTGAAAATATTTGCTTTAAAACACTAACCCCCCCCCCCCCCCCCCCGGGAAAGCAGCCTCCTCTTAGTTACCTCCTCTAAGTTTAAAATCGTTTCAAACTAAATTATCTGCCCCTAATAGCCATCACCAAACCAGGCTTTACGATTGTATTATGTAAACATTTAGCGTGAACCACAGCTCACCAGAGGGGGGGGGGGTTGGTAGCGATAGAGAGGAAGAGAGGGGACTGCAAGGCGCTCTTGCAGCTTGTTTTCTAACGTCTCCCAGAAGAGAATTATATATATATATAGATGTTTGGTTGTGCTTTAGTATTAGATAGAGACTATAGGCTCCATTTCAGCGAAGTGATTTAAGGCTATGGTTTTTGTTGTTCAGCCTACCTCAAATGATAACATGAAAACACCCAGCTGGACAATGTACCAGTCATTTCTAAAGAAAAATGAAATATGTGTACTTGGTACTATAACTAGACTTAACTCACAATTCTTATTGATGATTTTCCCCTTATTAGGTTTATAAAATAAATTTACTTTTAATAAATCCAGGCTGGCTTTTGTTTTAGAAAGTTGTTTTAAATAATGATGTTTATTTAGTTGAAAATGTAAAAATAATATCAGTGTTCAGTTGTCACCTCCTTTGTGTTTGTAGGTGAGGCTGACATTGTTGCTGCTCATGTAGAGGACCTGATCAAGTGTGGGGTCAAGCCAGTGGACATTGCCGTCATAGCACCCTATAACATGCAGGTACTCTGTTGTTTCCCAGTGTGTTGTTTTTTAAAATGTATTTAGTTTTACTCTTTTTGGATTTATCTGGCACCCCTCTTATTCTTCACATTGTCATTTTGTTATTTATTAGTTTTTTTTAATTGCCAGACAAGTTTATTTTTATTAACTGGCAAGTTTTTATTTTTCAACTAGTAACATTCTATTTATTAAACGGCAAGTTTTTACTTAGTAACTGGCAATGTTTAAACATTTCTTCATTGCGGCATCACAATTTTTTTCCCCATCATATTCCTTTTCACTTCCCTTAATAATGAACTCCATTAGTCTACTAAACTAGAACAGCAGACACTTTGTCTATTACACAACTGAATAAAAAGGTTATGTTTTGTGTAATTCAGCTAGTTTATGTTTCTAACCCTAACACCCTCTGCTGAATAAAAAGGTTATGTTTTGTGTGACTCAGCTGGCTAATGTTTCTAACCCTAACACCCTCTGCTGAATAAAAAGGTTATGTTTTGTGTGACTCAGCTGTCTCATGTTTCCAACCCTAACACACTCTGCTGAATAAAAAGGTTATGTTTGGTGTAACTCAGCTGTCTCATGTTTCCAACCCTAACACCCTCTGTTGATCACCCAGGTAGAACTGATCCGGACACGCCTGAGTGGACAGTACCCAAGCCTGGAGATTAAATCAGTGGACGGGTTCCAGGGCAGAGAAAAAGAAGCCGTCGTTATTTCAATGGTCAGGAGCAACTTAAAAGGTAGCGATGTCATAGAAGTAGTTGCAAATTAAGCTCCAATCATTGCTGGCATATCAGTTTTTAATTACGGAGTCAGGAGAAACAGATACTATTTTTTTTCTGGGGAAGATCAATACACTTGAAATATAACAATAAACTAACCCAAAAAAAAGTTTCCCTTTCAAACCTGACGGTCTATGGGGAAAGTGAAGTAGAGTTCACTTGTTTCTGTGACCTCGGCATATGAAGAGATAGTGTGGTCAGCACTATGCCCAGCCGCCTTTACTTTCCCTAACGTGAGTTAGGTACCCATCAGAGTTGGGTGGACTCAGGGGCGGTCTACTGACTTGAACCCGGATTCGAACTCGAGACTTACGGGTTAGCAGTCCAGCTCTCTACCGCTAGACCACTCCGCCCCTTAACTAACACAAAACAGGTTTGAAAATTCTTTCTCCTATAACCTCTACCTCCTCTCTGTAATTAAAATTTAAATGTTATAATTTCCATATCTTTACATGTACAAAAAAAACTACCCAAAAGTAACCAAGATAAAATGTATATAGACCTATTTTTAAACTGTATTAAAAATGTGTTTGCTCTTTGTGTAAAATTTTTAATTTGAAAGACTGTTAGGCCGATGTGAAAAAGGCTATTTAAAAAATGTTTGGTCTATGTCACTATATGAAGCAAGCTTTTTTAAAAACTGTTTGGTTTTTTTTTACATAAAAACCAATTTTGAAAAGTTGTTTAGTCAATTAAAACGTGTGTAAAAAGCAATTTCAAAAATGTGTTCCATATTTTACATCCCAGGTGAAGTTGGTTTCCTTGCTGAGAAGCGCAGGATCAACGTGGCAGTGACACGAGCCAGACGTCACCTGGCAGTGGTGTGTGACACTGAGACTGTCAGCCATGATCCTTTCATCAAATCTCTGGTCGACTACATGCTAGAGAAGGGGGAAGTGTTATCAGCCCATCAGTTTATTCAAGGTGACATTGAGTTTTTTGTCAGTGTTTTTATCATACTCATGTATTATGCTCCATTTTAAAATTTTCCAGGGTCCTCATGGTTATTATATCTCAAGGACTATTTTGATATTGTTGCAGCTTATTAATATAAGATTATACATTGTGGCCTGTCTTCAGGCCAGTCTCTCCCCCACTCCCCCTTTTCTGCAATATGTCAAGTAAGTATAATGTCACACTTATGTTTAGAATATGGGACAGAGTGGTCTAGCGGTAGAGAGCTGGACTGCTAGTCCGTAATTTTCGAGTTTGAATCCGGGTTCAAGTCAGTAGACTATCCCTGATTCCACCCAACTCTAATGGGTACCTAACTCACATTTAGGCTGGGCATATTGCTGACCACACTATCTCTTCATATGCCGAGGTCACAGCAACAAGTAAACTCTACTTCACTTGCCCCGTAGATGGTCAGGTTTGAAAGGGAACTTTACTTTTTTTTTTTACTTTATATTTAGAATACATCAATTTTCATAATTATAATTAATTTTTAAATACTGTTCCTATGTTTGGTTTTATAAATATGCAGTTTTTTCACCTATGCTAACACAACCTTTTGAAGTAGTTTGGTTTACACTATAGTGGCACTATCGTGATGATCATTAATTTAAAACTGAATTTTCTTTGGCAGAGGGTAAAGTGACTCAGACTTTTACTCGTCCAGCGAGGCTGACTGACATGATGGAGTCCACAAAGTCACAACAAAAACCAGTCAAGAAAAGGTAGGTGGTTATTAGTTGGCGTTGATTTGAGTTTAGTTTCCGTGTTTTTTTTTTGGGAATTCCTGTTAGTCAAGTAAACAAGTTCTTTTTGTTGATAGCTTCTTTTAAAAATGTCTGTCAGTTAAGTAGCATATGTTTTTAACAAGAGAGAAGACTCAAGAAATAGTGTTATGGTTATTCTACATTCACATAGGTCTATTTAACGTAAATAAACTTGAAAATTGAAAGTAAAAATTCTCTTTATTTCAAAATGCAAACAAATAAAAATAAGTTTACAATTTAGGTGTTTACACCACAATATAAACAATGTGTAATGTATTCATATTAACTAGTAACTCAAAGCACCAAAAATGTGACTTATGCATTTGTGGATTGACAGTGATATTTTGTTGCTGTAATATTTGTGATAATCCTCAAAGCTTCTTGAAATAAAATGGCACTCTCTTAGTTTCCTCAGTTAAAAAAAAATTCTTTCGACAAGAGAGAAGCCATTTCAAAGGTTTTTTTTCTTCTTTCCCGAAGAGAGCAGCCACTTCGAACATTTTTTTTGTTTCTTTCCACAAGAGAGCAGCCACTCCAAACAAAGGAAGAGAAGATGTTGCTGTACCAGAAAGAGTTGGAGAAATTTGTGTCAGACACAGGTCAGTCTGTTCTAGACTTCCCAGCCACTCTCAACTCACACGACAGGATGGTCATTCATGAGGTCAGTACTACAGTCACAAATAGTATATGGTGGTGTTTTTTTGTGGTGTTTTTGGTGGTGTTTTTTGGTGGCACTTTTTGTGGTATATTTGTTGGTACTTAAGAGGTACTTTTGGTGGTATTTTTAGAGATACTTTAATGGTATTTTGGTGGTACTTTTTTTTGGTGGTACTTTAATGGTATTTTTGTGGTACTTTTGGTGGTATTTTTGGAGATACTTTAATGGTACTTATGATGGTATTTTTTATTTGTTTCATTTAAGTTGTATTTGTTTTTAAATGAAGATTAAAGTGGTATTTATTTTTATAATACACTATTTTTGTTGTTGTTGTAAATTTAAGTGGTGTTATTATTTTCAGGTTGCAGAGAAACTTGGCCTCTATCATACCAGTACAGGGGAGGGCAAGGACAGACATATCCAGGTGTCTAAAACAAAACCCCCCTCAGACAGCCCAGGTGTTGCTGTGCCACCTTGTGTTGTGGCAGATGCTGAAGTCTGTAACTCCTCTCTTCCAGATACAGATAGTCCTCTATTGAAAAATAATGAAGAAGGGGAGAATACTGGTGTGGAAAATAATTTAGAGTTACCTACAAGTTATACTGAGAGTAAGATTCAACAGGTTGAAAAGGACGCGGATGCTGTCTTAAATTCACAGACATCAGGAGAAAAAGTTAAAACAGACGCTAAAGAAAATAAAAATCCTGTGAGCCAAACTAAAAGTGTGGCCTCCCCTGAGCCAGATAAAGTGGAAGATGAGGGTGTGGTGTCTTGTAAACACTGTGGTAAGAACATTAAAATTCCGAATCTAGTCCTGCATGAGTTGCATTGCTCAAGACAAGCCAAGCCGTCACAAGCCAAGACGTCTTTAGGTTCCGCAAGCGGGGGCGTCAGGAAGAAAGAGACAGCGCAACAGGAAAAAAAGAAAGAAAAAAGTAAGAAATCTCAAACCCAGAATGTCTCTGAAGCTCTCAGTAAAATCGACGACGATGACTTTGATGGGTTGATTGCTAGTATCACGGAGCTGGACAGTAAGTGTTCGTTTAAGAAATGCAAGACCTTGACCAACACGCTGGGTAGGAACTGTGAGTACTGCACGCGCAGGTTCTGCCTGACCCACCTGATGCCTGAGATCCACGGGTGCGGGGACGCGGTCAGGGAAGCGTCCAGGCGACTGATCAGCAGGGAGGGGGTCCTGCACAGTGGCAGCGGGGTGCCTAATAAGAAACCTAACGCGGCCAGACGTGCGCAGTTGGAGATAAAGCTAGAGAAAAAACTCGGGGATTTGACGAGTAAAAGATCAAAACATTCTGAGAAGAAGAAGTCTTGATGTATTGAAATTTTGTAATATTTTAGTTTATGAAATTTAAAATAAAAATACGTAAAATTAATTCAGTTTTTTTTTTTTTATTTTATTCTGCATTTTTTTTTTAATGTTTTTTGTTTGTTAATTGTATGTAACGAAAATATGTCAATAAGGTGGCTTTTGTTAAACTAATTTAGGCAAGAAGTACACAAAAGTTTACCAAATTTGGATGATAAAACATGACAGGCAGGAAAACATTTAGTTCAAAGTTTTATTGTACTCTAGGATTTATTTTAAACTTTGAGAACAGCAGCCAGGCAATTGGTTGAAATTTAAAAAATGACACAGTAAAAGTGATAACACCATGGTAATACAGTTTAGTAACAGTTACATTTATCCAGACTAAGATAGGTACATTGCCAAAGACGAACAGTTAATAGAAATAAACAAGTACAATTTGAAAATGTAAGTCCAGCCCCTAAACTATGCAGAGGCGTAGCGACCCTTCCTGGCGCCCGGGGACAAACTTTCGATTTGCACCCCCCCCCCCCCCCTCAAACTTTCGATTCCTTTTTCCAACCCATTTTGGCGCCCACTAATGTCGGCGCCCGGGGACATATGTCCCCCTCTGCTCCCCCATCGCTACGTCTCTACAACAATGCACTCTATAGAAATCTTTTATGGGTTTGTACCCTACTAAAATGTTGTAGGCCTACAATAACGTCTCTCATTTCTTACTTTATTGTACTCTTGTCTGATATTTTCACTTAAATAGGATATTGGAACACTACTCAAACCATCTCAAATTTCTGTATTTAAAGTTGCATCATTTTTTCGAATTTTTATCTGGCATTACAAAAAAAACATGTTTTACTCACGTAGACGACATATCTGGAGTGAGACAGGCATCATAAAAAAAATAATGGTTAAAATTTGATAAAATAAAATGGGTTGGGCCTAACAGCAATAGAACAGCAATATTATATTTATTTTAAAAAAAAAAATCACCGACAAACACTGAGAGAAATTAAAGAATGGCAAAGTTTGTCATGAAGTCACGATAAAAGATCGACGTGGCTAATTCAATCTGTTAGCACTTTTTGATCTCAACCATCTACTGTTACGAGAGTTCGTGCGTAAAATAAAAATAAAAAGGAAGTAATGACGTCATCAAATATCGAAAACCTTACCATTACGGACTAGATCTCAGTGCTCAGGGAAAAATTCAATACAAACATTTAGAAAAGCCATTTTTCTTTTAATATATGGCCAAAACTAATAACCTAAAAAAAACCCAAAAAAAAAAACAACAAACAAACCCAGAAATGTAACAACAGAATGTCAGTAAATGACGTCACAGTCATTGGGTCGGAGGGCGGTCTATTGTGATGGAGGGGATTACCATCTCTCAACAAGATAGATTGCTATTGTAAAAAAGTAAACAAAAAAAGTCTTTTATTTCTAGCTTTGGTCTGGATTTGCAAAATAAATGAGGTTGATACGCTAAAAGACCGTGGCGCCATTTAAGTACGACCCCTTTATGCCAAGTAAGCTAAACTAGTATTGTAATTGCAACGATCTGACTTCAACAGTTGTTATTCAACTGGCTGACAGATGTATTACTGACTGCTCTTCCCGCCAACTTCTGTCTAGAATCAGGGGAAACAACTTCTTCTCACGTTGAATATTGGCCAGCAAATGCAGACAGCATATTTATACCAAAGTTTTACAAATTTAGAACCATATCTGATTAAAATTATAAATAAAATAAAAAATACAATAAATACGTGATAGTTTTGACGCATTAATCATCTACGAATATTGTTCTATAAATAAACACAAAAATAAATAACATTCGATTAATAAAAAAATATTTTTTATTTATAAAAGAACAGGCGTTATGGTAGTGATAACAGCTCCAGGATAAGTTTTCAAATACAAAGTCACCCTTTTTAAACTTCGTGAGATTGTAGTATGGTCAAATTGCTGTTTTAAATAAGCAAACTGGTGTTTAACTAAATACTTTATTAAAATAGTAAGAAACTTTTATATATATATAAATTTTTAACCAATTAAGTTTCGATTTTAAAATTTGCGAAACACCATGTAAACCAATTGATGATTGGCCCCCCCCCCCCCCCCCCATTAACATCTGGTTTAATACCGAACAGTAAAGGCTACATTTTACATATTTTACCACCCGCTTTGTCTAATCCCACCCATCTCCCACACACACACAACCTCGTCCTAACGCCATAATTCTTAGAGTCGAAATTTTAATAGTTATATTTATGGAAATATAGGAATATTTATATATTACGTGCTATTGGCCGTAACAAAGTAACAACGTGAACTGACATCAACTGTCTAGTTTATGATACCAGCAGATAAATAATTTTAAAATGACCAATTGAAGGTGTGACACGATATGACGGTGATCAATACAACAACAGATGTTCAGCTTTTAGCGTGCGAGACTGGTCCTAGAGAAGTGCTCACGTAGATTTATTTTTAGAAACGTACGGACAGAGAAGCAAACACATCAAGAAAAGTTTCAGAGTGCTATTTCAAGAAAATAATTACATTTAAAGTAGGTCTACTATATTTAAGATGAATAATAAAACGTATTATATATATATATATATATATATATATATATATATATATATATATATATATATATATATATATATATATATATATATATATATATATATATATATATATATATATATATATATATATTAATACATCTTGGAAGAAATTGATAAGTTTAAATGAAAATCTTTAATACACAAAGTGATATAAACATTCAAATAGTAATAAATAGGTTGTGCTAATGTCTCAAATCTTCGAGTTGAACAATTAAAATGAAACCAATGGATAAAAAGTATATGTGTACATCCAGTAACAATTTATTTTCTGCAGCCTTTTCTCTGATGTCCTTTGCTAAACAATCCAACATTTGAATGCGTGATTGGGACTCAGTAGATTTGATTTGTATTTAAAGGCGGTCTAAATACATGTGACTTGTTTATATAGTTGATACACGCCGTTAACAAAATAAATCGTTTATCTATAAACATAGCTTGACGATTGACTATTAGCTATCGTGTTGTGAATTTTTTTTGAGAAATTATAACACCTTTAATAACAAATGAAATTACTGGTGTAGTTTTCGAATTTTTTTATTGCAGTTTAGGACGCACTTTATATATCAGGGGCGTTACTTGGGTGTGTGGAGGGGTGCGTCAAAAGAACACCCCTGGCCCCAAGAAATTGCAACAGCGGCACTGATTGACGTCATATACAAAAGCAACAGAATTGTGATTAATTACTTGCATTGTTTTTGCACGATGATGGGCGTCTGAAAATCATGGTCCAATTTATCCTTGTTACTGTGATGACTAGTTTTTCATTAAACTAATGATATAGTTTGTTTATGCGAATAGAGAGCAACCGTGTTTTTACACAACAAACACCAGGAGCCAAACAACGATTGTTAAAATGGTCATCAACACGAAAAAAATCCTGTCCAGTTCCTCGTACGTCAACTTCCGGTCTCCACAGCAACGTTTCTTGCCCTCAACCTTGACCTCCACCTTGTCGTCTGGTTCGTAGACGCAGTGGTTCAAATTGTTGTGCTTCGTCACTTCCGGCGGGACGGGCGAGACGGCGTTGTGTCGGCGAGAATAGAACAGCTGCACGGATTTCGGGCGCTCTGGTGGTTGATGTTTTTGGTTGAGTGCGACCTCTTCGGGGGTTGCTGCTGGTGAACTTTGACCGAGACCTTCAATACACTGTTGCTCGTATCGCCGAAGCACAAACGCGGTGGCCGCTGTCGCTAGCATGATGAGAAGACCGTTGAACACCAGAAGAAGATTCATTCTGGGCGGGCTTTCCATGCTTCGGGGCATGATGTCGAGGATGTAGTTGTAGAAGACGGAGCTGGATAAAAACATGGAGACGACGAACGTCATTTTTTCCCCGCCTTCCGCTGGAAGCCAGAATACGACGAGAGTGATGACTGACGTCATAGCCATGGGGCCGATCAGGTTGACGACGTAGAACGCGCTGCGTCGGCTCATCTCGACGTCGCAGACGATGTAGTTGAAGACGGGTTTGTAGTGCGAGGTCTGGGTGTAGCAGACGGAGCTGACAAGGACCCAGGCGGCGTTGGTCCCGAAGTACGAACTGATCCCCATGGGCGTGACGTTGTGGTAGCTCAGGTTGTACATGCCCGACTCGATGAAGATGATGCTGCAGGTGTGCTTGTCGAAGGGGAAAAAGGTCAGGTCAAGGTTACACAAGGTCGTGGTGATGATGGGGATGAGCGTGGAGACGAGTCCGATATTACTGACCTTGACCGTGTCGGTCAAGGTCAGCATTTTGACCGAGTTGTCCGCGGTTTTAGGAATGTAGATAGAAGGCGTCCAGAAGAGGTCGGATTCGATTTCGAGAGAATCGATACCGTTGTAATCGGCGGGGTTCCATTTAACGCCAAGGTCGATCCAGGCGAGGGTCACGGCCGAGGAGATCATGAGCGACTGGAAGACTTCGTCCACCACGATGATCTGCAGAGGCTCGTAGCTCAGGTAGATGGGCGGCCTGTAGGGGTAGTACTTGGGGGGCGCCCTGTTGATAAGGGCCAGGCGCCCCTCCACCATGTCACGTAGTCGGCTGAACGAATCCAGGTAGTTCACGGCTGTGGATGTGTTGGCGCAAAAAGCGCAGGGCAGCGAACTCCATAGGATGATGGATAATATCCATCGATGGATCATTCGAATAAAATGTCTCTTGATGAAAGAAGACTCCATTTTATTGTGATCACAAGATATATAAAGTTTGCTATTCATAAAAAGGATTAAAATTTATACATTTATTTAAGTTTTAAATATAATTAATATATTTAAAAATAAGGTCCGTTACAGAAATATTTTTTGTCAGGATTTTCATCAAGTTTGAGTTAGATGATTCACGAATTGAGCACTCACATCAAGCTTATGACAACAGTTTCAAGAGAACATAAATTATGTTCTATATTTAGGTGGTCAAGTCCGTTAACTTTCATTGTGTTTAAGACACTAAACATCCTTAAAATAACTTCAAAAGTTCCATGAAATAAAATATCATGATCAGCAAAATCATGTTTATATATAAAGATATATATTTTTAAATTTATAGATTTCTAAATAACTAAATATCGATTGAAGTGAATAAAATCACTAATTTGATTTATACAGTTCAACATAATAAATTATTTCATCAGTAAATTTATATTTTTGTTTTATTTTAGAATATTATTGTCTCCCTTATCCACATAAAGACTAAACATTTAAAGAATCACAAGATAATAACTAATTTAACTATTGATTTCAATCTGAAATGAAAATTCACATATTTAAAACCAACCTTGAACAACAAACAGAAGATAAACTTTCCGTTTTGAATCAGATCTCCGGTTACTGAATTTTTTTTCTTTCTCCCTCTAGTAGTAAAGGGAAACAACTCGCCTTCCTTAATCAGTTACAGTTCCTGAATACAAAGCCAGAAATCCAATAACCTGTCCTTGATGTTACTCCCACTGATAATGCTTGTCATACACAAATGGGCGGTAACTCATTTTTTTCTCCTTTTCTTTATTGAAAATCAATTTCGTAAAAAAAATCAATAACAGTTTTCTGTAATTTGTATTTTTAATAAAATAAGTGGATCAAGGTAGCGTTGTTAGGAATTGAAGTTTGAAAAAAAAGAAGAAATATTAATTATTCACTATTGAATGAAGTACTAGGGTTTGTGTTGGGAATTGTGAATGATACTGTGTTGTTTATGATTGAAATACAAATATCTTCCAGGATTAAGAATGACGAAATGTTTACATACTAAGATGTAACACTAGCAACGTGATTGTAGCAACTTGGTTAGAGCAACGTGACCATGGCAACGTGGCAACAGCTACCCACCTGATCGTGTTCAATAACAATTTACAAAGAACGTGGGTTGGAATAGTTTAAAACATGTTTAAAATTCGGTCGGGTACAAAATATTAATTTGAAAAAAAAAAAAAAACAAGTGCCCGACGTTTTCTTTTGGACTTAACAACAAAAAAGTTGTAAAAAGTCTTGAATCAATCATTTGGGTTCAAACAATAGAGCGTCCATGAGTCCACCAAGCTACCACGGGTGCCTGACTCACGTTAAAAAAAACCAAACAAACGTATAGAACGGACAATACTATCCCTTCCAATGCCGAGGTCACAGAAACAGATGAACTCTACTAGACCTTTGTTATTGACCGCAAAGTTAAAAAATACCTGTAGTATTTTTAACTCCGTTGTTACCAGTTCAAAGCCCGGATGAGATAGGTAAAGGGTTAGGCTAAAGACGAACAAACCCTTTGCGTCAAAGGAAAATCAAACCGCTACAAGAACATAAGGAGAATCAAAAGACGACACAATCACGAGAAACATACAGTGTTTCTTCCAGACTTTTTTTCTCTTGTGGGGGGGGGGGGGGGTGCATTTGAAATTTTCGGGGGGGGGGGGGGGCGGTAGACTTCCTTCGGGGAGGGTGGACACTGTTAAAAGTATATATTTTCTGTATAAATTTCATTTTGTTCCGGGGGGGGGGGGGGGAGGGGGGCTCCTGGAAGAAACTCTGGAAACATATCACCTCCAGTTGGGTGACACACGGGACAGTTTGAGAACATCGCCAATGACCGAATAGCTAGGTAAAATACTGTGGGTATAGCCGAACTACAACCACAGCAATAGTATCATTATAAAATGTAAAACCTAGCATCAGTTTAAAGCTACATACATCTTTAGCCGGTACTTTAACTATAGCAAGGTATGTAAAGTTTGGTACGTAAAAAAATGTATTATATTAATTTGAACTGGTAAATTACTTTTTGTTTGCCTGCAAATGTCATATATATCTCAGAGAAAACATGAATTTGTATAGTGTTTGACACGTTTTCTCAGATCACAACGGTTGAAAATCGATCACCTTATCTGAGTTGTAAACACAGTCAAATTTCCTCACGGTAATTAGAGAAAACAAAACAAGAACTTTAGTTGACGTTTGAAGGCAGGCCTACACGTCCCATAATACCACCACGTTTACCCACATCTGAAAATAACACACCGACTTTCAAGACGTGTAGTAAATACACAACGACATTCCTTAATATAATAGTTGCCACGGGTTTGTTTAATTTCTCAACTGGTAAATGTATCTAAAGGTTGTTTTTTTTTAAAACTGTAAATGAAGACACGTCTTATTTATAAACAAAAAAAAACAACTGTTATTGTTGTATAGGCCTACTTTTAAGTAATTTCCTACGTACTAAACTGCAGAACTACACAAATCCTTATTGAATTATTGAATATGATTGCCAAGTTTTAACCAATCCAAGCACATTATTTCGATCCGTTATCGTTTTCCGCCGTTTCCGCTTCCGGTCAGTAAAGATAGACGATGACGTAGACGAGAACGGTGAGTAACGATAAGACGACGAAGAAAATTGTGTCCAGTTCGTCATGCGTCAGCTGGCGGTCCCAGAATCCCCCTTCGTCCTTGACCTTTGTGTTGTATTGATCCCCGAGGTCAGTCTTGACGGGATCGGAGTTTTTATCGTTAAATTTCGAATTCAAGTTTTTACATTTTTCATCGCACGTCGAGGAATTTTTCCCGTTACTATCGACGTCATTGTTAACGATCGAAATCTGTTTTGGTTTTATGTTTTGTTCCTTTTCAGAAAAATCGCTCACAATATTATTCTGTTGATTTTTCTGGTTCATATTTTTCGAATTTTTTTCAGCTTTTGCGTTTTCGTTGTTGGTAGTTGCGTCCGCCCTGGACCGAGTCGATTCCGATTCCTTGCGTTTCTTCCGTGTAAGTTGTTGTTTGTATCGGTACAGTACGAATACCGTCGCCACAGTGGCGAGTATGACCTGGACGACTATGGCGAGCAGAAGGATGTTGATGCGAGGCAGGGTCTTGTCCATGTTTTTAGGCACCCGTTCAACAATATAGCTCAAGAAAACGGAAGTCGACGTGTACATGGACAAGACGAATCCGATCTTCTCCCCGCTTTTCGCCGGGATACAAAAAACCGCCAACGTCATGACTGACGTCATCGCCATGGGGAAAATCAGATTTATGACGTAGAATATACTACGTCGGCTCATTTCGATGTTGCAGATGACGTACTGGAAATTTGGCGAAATGTGAGACATTTTCGCCACACATCCATGTTTGCCCATTATCCAATCGCCGTTTGTTCCAAAGTAGGATTGGATATCCGTTGGGGGTAGGCGAAACGACGTCATGTTGTAGAAGTGCTCCTCAATGAAGACGAAACTGCAGTTGTGCTGGTCGAAAGGGAAGTACGTCATATCCAAGTTACACAGCGTGCTGACGAAGGTCGGTACTGAAGCCAAGATGGCGCCGCTGTATGTGATGTCTACGACGTCCGGAAACGGCACGTGCAAGTCCGTACCCAAGGTCGTTTTGGGAATGATGATCGAAGGCGACCAAAAATTTTCCGACGAAAGTTTGATGTCGACGATACCCGAGTAGACGCTGGGGTTCCATACGACTTCCGGGTCGTTCCATGTCAAGGTCAGAATAGAAGACAAGGTCACGGCTTGGGTGATCCCTTCTACTTCAACAATCTGTAGAGGTTCGAACGACAACGATATTGAGCTGTTGTGTTCCGAGTAGTATTTAGGCGGGACTTTGCGTCGTAGGGTCAATTTGGCTAGCATCGTCTGACGTAGGAGTTGAAACGCTTCCATGACGGTCAAGTTCTTGACAACGCTTGACCCGGTCGTCTGCTCCAGGTTGTCCGCAACATAATCCGTCGTCTGAGAAGCGACATTGTGCGTCATCAACGTTATTAAAACGAGCATCAGGTTAATCATGATAGTAAGCTTTACGACTGCCATTTCCTATGAAAATTTTATATATATATATATATATATATATATATATATATATATATATATATATATATATATATATATATATATATATATATATATATCAGGTCAAGTTTTATAAAGTAAAATTTAGGAATTATCTCGCGACTTAATTCACCGTCGTGTTACACCAACGAAACAAATCCCGTATAACAAATCCCGCCCCTCGCTTAGGACCTCGATCAATATAGCAACGAGACGAATGTTTTTCTCTTGTTTTAAAAAAGAAAAACTCCCCGATGTCAACAGAACTAATTATCTCCCTTGCAAATACGAATTTACACGCAAGGATAATCGTAGAGAAATTTCGCGGCAAACATTACCTTGTTCGCTAAAACTCCATCCATTAATTATGTGAAATACAGAGTAGAAAAAAACTAGACCAGGGTTTTTATCATGAAATATGCAGGAGTTATCCTCCCTGAGTTTTTGTTTTTAATGCTCACCCTATCACGATCCAGGTTTGGTTTTTTGGTTGTTTTTTTTATTAATGAAAATCGACAAAATCGAACCTTGTACTAGCATGTGAATGGATGATATGTTTGTGTAATCGATGATTTACGTCAGGGGGTAGAGGGGTCAATGAGGGGTCGTGAATGGTGTGGGGTGGGGGTGCGATGGTGAAATTCCGGAGCAAATTGACGCCTGTTATTTCAACGATCTATCACAAGGTGGAAATGACATCAGTATATGACCTTGGGGCTGTTCATGACGTAATTAGGAAGATTAAGTAAACGGAAGTGGGTGTGGTTGTTTAAATCAATTTATTTTTAAAAATTAATTACTGATTAGATATCTTATTCAAAAACGTCTTTAGTTATCTTCTCTATTGAAATAATTTTCTCAATAATTTGCTAGTAATTAAGATTAATTAAGACGTTTTCTTATAGATTAAAATACTGATGTATACACACTTTATTTACAGCAGGTGGAAGCATTTCTGAAACCAAACGTGTTTGTTTACAGAGCGTTATGAACGTGGCATAGCGGTAGAGCGCTAGACTGCTAACCCGAAAGTCTCAAATTCGAACTAATTTGAAGTTAGTAGAACGTATCTGAGTCGACCCAGCTCTAATGGGTACCTGACTCACGTTAGGAAATGATGCTGACCACCCTATCCCTTCATAAGCCGAGGTCACTGAAACAGGTAAACTCTACTTAATCTGCCCCTTGTGTCTTGGAAACGAATTGGAATAAACCGGGAGTGATCTCCCCTAAACTTTCTCGAATATTCTAATATAACACTACGGGGTATGGCAACTCGGGATATAGACTTCTAGACAAGGTTTTTAATCCATTTTAAATACTCAAATTTTAAAAAATAGAATATAATCTCGTAGAAAAAAGAAATGCACACCAAGTGAACGCTAAATATAGATGTGTATAATAGTGCGCAATATTATTAGTACTTTATAAATTTACATGCGTTTTTTGAGAAATCGGAAATAGCGTAAATAAGTACTTCCGGTCAACGGAAATTACTCAAAATTTGACAGAAGGTAGATAATTAGATCTTTTATTTACATATCAAATTACATTTATCTATCTGAAATAGTACTCAAGTTATAGGCTTTTGAAAAATTCAAAGTAGAAAAAGTACCACTTCCGGTTATCGGAAATCGCTCAAATGTTGATACGGATCTACGATTTTAATAAAATACTTATATATGAAATTTCATCAACCTAGCTGTAACGGTACTCAAGTTATCGTGTTTACACACGGACACACACACACACACACACACACACACACACATACATACACACCAGGGGCGGAACTACAGTGCCGCCAGACCCCGCAATGCGGGGGGGGGGGGGGGCCCACGCCATTTAGGGGCCCAGAGCCGACCATAATAAATTTTTTTATAGTTAAAAAAAAAAGTAAATTTTCTTTCATTTTTGACTTGATGGTTGTTTTGTAAAAAATTACTTAGCTGCGGTTGGATTATTCTATAGACACCACCCCACGCTCTTGTATCTTCTTTTTCCCTTTGTTTTCAAACAACTTTGAAAGCCGAGTCTTTCATCTACAATTAAACGTAACAAATGTTTAAACCATGACTTATTTCCCTTTTTTAAAAAATAGGCAAATAGGGGTGATCATAAGCTCCTTTTAATAGATTTGTACTAAACAAATTAAAAAGCAATTTCTTCTCTTAATTATTATTTTTTTATAAGTAATTACTAAAGAATAATATTGTATAAAAAGGAAATGTATTGAAATGTATTAAATCAATAATATTTAGAAAATTAATAATATAATTACAAAAAAAAACATAAAAATAAACATAACACGAGACACCATTACTAATTCAAAGCTTTCATGTTTTATATTATTTTTGACTGACAAGTTTCTACGAGGGCTTCTATTAAAAATTTATTAACACTGAGTTTTCACCAAACACGCCAATGCACTTACACACATGACATGATGTTGCAATTTTTTTAATTGATGTTTTTTCAAATTTCGAACAGGACAGCAACGAGTATCCTATGTTCGTATTATGCTATTGTATATATATATATATATATATATATATGGGGGGCCTAAAAAATTGTTTGCGGGGTGGCCCTTTATTTCTAGTTCCGCCACTGATACACACACACACACACACAGACAGACATACGGACAAGATTGCAAAATTATGTTTTTCCGTATCAGTGAGATGTAAAACGTCGAGATTTGCAAAAATCTCGATTTTTTTTAGCACGATTACAAGACTTTCTCTATATTTCGTATATACGAGAAAGTAAAAAAAGAAGATGAGCTCTACTCAATTCTATTCTTCTCAGTGTGAGATCCTAACCTTTACTTTCACGAACTCCCCAACCCCCCCCCCCCCCCCCTTACAAGTACATGTAAAAAAATCATCTTTCTTTGACTTACGCAGATTCAGTACACGGAAGTGGGTATACTCATTAAAAATCAATTAATTCAAAATTAATTACTGATGACGACAATCCTGTTCAAGAACGAGGCCTTGGGTTATTTTCCTTATTGAAGTACTTGTCAGACATATTTGTGTAAACTATTGACAATTATTTCTTTCGTAAATATATGTCAGCAATGATTATAATCGATCCAGAATGTACCTGTAGTTCAACCTTACTGATAATTGATTAATATTTTATATTGCGTGCTGCTTAGAGTTTGATTTTTATGACGCTGTTATCTAGTTTTTGAAAATCGTGTTCTGTATTTTGGTCACCAAATGTACACAAATTGAACCAAAGGACAGTGAATTAAATTTTCTGTACATTGATTTCTGTGCAGATAAAAGACGTTTTTTTAGTGAATGTAGGTTCATGTCAATAGATCGAAACCAATCAAGGAAATGGTAAATTTTAATTTGTGCGCGGTGTTAAGTAGATTACATTGAGATAACCGTCTAAAGACTCAACACACACACACACACACATGTTCACACACACACACACACATGCTCTCTCTCTCTCACACACACACACACATACACACACACATACACACACATGCTCACACACATGCGCTCACACACATACACACAGAGGCGTAGGCAGGATTTTGTTATGGGGATTGTTCATTTTACCCCAGATAAACACAATCACACGAGTATAATGCAAATAGTAACCTATATTTTTAAGATCTATTACTAGTAAATTAAATGATGTCCACTTACTGAAAAAGTGCCTAAGTTATCGTGTTACAAACAGACAGACATACACTGACACACATACAGGCAAAATTTAAACCTGTTTTTTCCATCACCTCAGAATTGTATAAAAAGGCGAAAATAGTCAAAATCTCGATATGAATTATACATATACGAGAACGTAACAAATAGCTTTCACTTAACGTGGGCTAGTTGTCATTTTGGGTGTCCCTAAGTTAGAGGGGGTTCTTACTTTCATTATCGCCATCGTTGCCTACGCCACTGCATAAACTCGCTGACAACCCAATGTTTATCAGGTGCAATTTTGATTTTGTTATTCAGTGTCGATGGATGGTTGCGTCGTCTATTGTGTTGTTTGGGAGATTATGAGTAGATGAGTGGTGAATAGATGGGTGGCGATTAATTGGGAGCTGATTAAATTAACAAAAATAGCGTCAAAATATCAATCGATTCTCGCGGATAAATATTAATCGATTTCCTGTGACAAAATAAATACACCGATTTCCTCATTGCTATATAAAAATCAATTCCTTATTATAACCTATAGGGGATCGGAATGAAAAAAAATCGTTAGTCCGCCCGTTATAAATGAGAGAAATGATATAAAAATCTCCCAGTACAGAGGCTACCTGAGCTTTGTTTGTCACAATATTTACAACATCAAATTTTCTCCACTAATGTTTCATACACATTGTAAAATATTTGATAAAAGATGATGAGTGGTGTTTCGCTTAACAAAGCGTAAAATTGCGTCCCATCATATATTTGAACTCAAAATAAAATCGCATATCTCAGCTGTCTTTGGTTAATGCCAAGCTGTTCAGTGCATAAAGGTGACGGCTTGAGCAAAGACTTGAGTGAACCTTAATCGTTTCTAACATTGTTTAGTTAAACCAGCTTCAAAACCTATTACACCGTTCAGTTAAAACAACTTAAAATATTTTAAAACTCTTCAGTTAGCTGTTGAAAAAACATGAAAATAGACCTCACTTTGGCACTGACATGACGTATGTCACATGTCATTTGGTACCGAAAATCTCACGTGGGTGGTGATGCCGTGTCTGTCAACAGTCACAAGTATGGCCGCCATGCATTCTGTCCCAGTCAGGAAACAGTCAATATTTTAATGCCTTTTGTAATGGGGGTGTGAAAAAACACGCGTGGATTAAATGTCGGCCAATCATTGGAGAAACCAGTTTCTATAAAGTATTTTTTTTTTCAGGTGTCAAAGGGAGACAACTCTAAAAATGTTATTTA